TCAGTAGTTACGCTTGCATATCTTAACAAAGGCAAATACAAATAATTGCGAGACAATATTTGAGGTAAGGTAATTCAATAATTTAAATATTTTCCTTCTACGTAATCATTAGGATATTATTATTGTATGTTAAGGTTGTGTGCTAATTAGGTTTGGTAAATGGATTCTTTCCTCATTTTATGCAAAAAACAAAAAAATGTAAATTACTTTTGCATCAATTCCTTACAGATTAGTGCATAACCCGAATACACTATAATTTCTCAATGAAGTGAAGCTTTAATCACTAATGTGTTTGCATTTATATATGTATGTTATGTATTTTCTGCATGTATGTACGTATGCATATATATATATATGTGCATATCTATGCACCTGAAAACCTGAAGACAATTGATAATCGAAGCGGACCGGTTCCTCTGTACAGTTTGTTAACTAATTTTCGTGTTTGTGTTTTTTTTTTCCTTTTTTTTTGTTTTTTTTTTTTTTTGTAATGCAACGATTGTTTCCGGAAGTTGTTGGCTGAGTCGACGTTTTTGTGACAATTTATGCATTTCTTCCTCTAGATTTATGTATAAGGAGAGCAAACAAATTTGAAACAATTGAACGCAGGCCTACTTTACAAAAACGAAATGGAAAACTATTTTCAAGCAAATGCCTGATATATATATCTGCACGTATAGGTAGCTGCATGTGTAACATGCGTACTGAGTGTATAATTAGGCAAACGGCTTTTTAATCCGCAAGTGAAGGCAAACGCGCACTCTAATCTACTCTTTGTTGTTCAAATGAGCGAGCGGATCAGCTCTTGTACACGAAAATACAGACATAGTTTGATATCGTCAGCTCCCCCAACATTGTTATAAGATTTTTAAAGTCTCATAGGTAACAGTGGACAGAGACTATTTTCTACTGAAATTTTCTTTTCACAAATATGTATGCAAAAGAAAAACTTATAATTTTTTTTTTTTTAATGGGTTAATAAACGACATATGAAAAACTTGTGTGCATTGAATGTAACAATAACAATAAAAATAAAAAATAACACAGCACATGAAGCGTCAGTTAGTTTCACTACCGCCATCGCGCGCGTGCTATGTTTTATATTTAAACGTTCGCAATAACGCAATTTGCCAGTAATACGAACAAAACTCTGCCTCATAAGGTTGTGTTTCATCATTTACTGTCATTCATTCGTATCTCTTAATCGGAAATATACAAATACCTAGTTAAAAAGGAAAACGAAAATGTATTTGCCGAAGGGAGTAAGTCATCATTTTCATTCATTTTAGTCAGGAAGTGAAATGCCTGCAAGATATATATATATATTTTTTTTTTTTTTAATCTGGCTTAAGCAAAAGCTCGACGTGATATTCATTATCGTTTAGACGAATTTAAATAATAAAACTTCCGGTTCCGGTTCCGTTTCCATTTCCAATTCAATCGATAGAACAACGTGAAAAGAAAAACTGCAAATAAAAAGATTAAATTGCGTAAACTTGCGTAAGTTAAAGAAAACCTATTAACGACAAAACAAAAACCGTTCGAGTTAGACTTTAAGTTTGTGGCGCTTAGTAATTCATCCGATAAGATTATGAACTAAATGTTATTATATTATTATTTCGTGTGATGTTCTACGATAATTAAAGTTAAAAGGAATGCTCCGCCATTTTTGCTTAAAAAAAAAAAAAAAAATAGTCAGATTTAAAGAAAATTAGAAAATCAATAAAAAATAAATAAATTTTCATATATTCGTGCAATTCAGCAATAAATTTGTCCGATAGGTAGCGGCTCGTTTGCCCTTTGTACTTCAAGTATAAGCGAACTGCAATAGAAAACAAATACATTGTTGTTTCGCGGAAAAGCCTCAAAAATTGATTTGGTTAACTCGTAAAAAGGTAAACGATTTTTTTGCGATTATTTTCCTGATGTGTTAATGGTTTGATATTTTATATAAATATCTAATGAGATTATCCTGATTATTCAACTAATAAGCCAACGCCAGTTAATAGTAAATATGAGGATATTTGGTTGAAGTGATGAAACCATAGTGACAACAATCGCTTCCTTTTTATACCCTACGCGAGTTGTGGTGCGGACGCGGATGTGTACAATACCCGGAACGACTTGAGACATGTCCACCTATTATTAAAATCATTTAGGATCACTTTCTCAATTGACCTAAGTATGTCTGCCTGTCTGTCCATCTGCTGCATATCCACGTTTTCTTGTGTTCTTGCGCTCACAGGACGCAATCTTTGAGATAATTTAATGAAATTTGTTACAGTGATCTCTTTTGGCTCAAGGATGAACGCTATTGAAATTGGTGCAGATTCGTTCATTTTTTTACCCGTTACTCTCATAAAAATCCTTATTTTCAAAAAATTTGTTTTTAAGATACATGTGCCGAATGAAGCGATGTAAGGTATTTAATGGTGAGCCATTGCGGGCAGCTTATAATGTTTTTATGGTTTTTCCACATATTGGTGGATTCGCATTTTTAAAATAATCCGTTTTTACACCCATCACCGAAGGATAAGGGGTATATTCATTTTATGAAAACTCCTATCACGTCCAGAAGGAAGCATCACCCCACAAAGTATATATAATCTTGGTCAGGATCAAATCCTAAATCGATTCAATCATGTCTGTCTAATGTCTGCTGCAAACATTCTTCTAGCCGCAAAAACGAAGCCATCGACTTCGAAAACATTTGGCAAACACATTAAAAGTTCTTACACGCAGGTTTTAGTTTTGAAATTGGGCTAAATCGGTCAAAGGACACAACCCGCAGCACCACATAAGCTGAAAAAAATTGGTGCTTTGCTCATCAGTCATAAACTGAAGCAAATAAGTGTACAAAACCTTGAACGTATATTTTATGGGCGATGCTGCAGCACCTGTACAAAAATGGAGACAGTTTATCGAGCCTACCCAGTATTATAGTATATCAAAATATAATTTTTTTTTAATACCTTTATGAGGAGCAGAAACAAGATTGAAAAACTGCACAACGCATCTAAAATTCTTGGCCAGTTTCAAATTTGGAATATATCTAAACATGTCCGTCTGTCCATCCGTTGGTGCGCAACTGTGTAGTATTTGCGGTAAACATTGTCCCGTTAGCGAAAATGCAGATAACGCCCACAAATTTTTAAAACAATTTGCCGGTGACCCATTGTTGTCAACGCATATGCCTGCACTGCCCGTACGGATATGCAAAACAAAAGCTTTTCTCTTGATAATAGAAAAAATCAGCCATTCCTACTCCATATTATAGAGCATAAAAATTGAGTTCTTTTCCTTTTTATACTCACCACTGAGGGACGGGGGAATTCTCATTTTGTTTTTTTTTTTTCATAGCCGAAAGGAAGCTTCATGGGCCGTGTAAATTATGTATATTCTTGATCAGCGTGAAATTCTGAAATGGTTAAGCTATGTCTGTCCGCCTGGATATCTGTGTGGCGTTTGTTGTTGGCTCTCTGCTGATCGCAAAAATAAAAATATTCACTTCAAATTTGATAGAAACATTGGAAGCTTTTGGCCGCAGGTTAATATTGAAACCGGAATACTTGCAACGCTGAAATTTTATTATTATACTCTACTCTTTACGTGCAAAAATGGAAAAAATCGGCCACGCCCGCACAAACAAATGATTACATTTTATTTTTTTTCATCTTTTTGGAATTTTGTGGTTATTCACCATAAGGCAGACAAAACGGAATATTTAAAACTATTTTGCACACTCCTCAAGTGAAGATGTATTGTCTACCTAAAAATGGGTTAATTCTAAAACGGATATCTGCCATATCACCGCGGCATGGTGGATTAGTTTTTTTTTAATAATACCAACAATATGGGTATCAAATAAAAGAACTTGGAGAATAGAATGAAAGAAGCATATTGATGGATACAAAAGATTCGATCGCGACCGAATACAATTTTCTTATTTGTTGCAAATTTTTTCCTTTCTAGGACGGTGTAAATAAATGATATTTTTTTTGGTTTGTTCCCTCAAATTCATTTCCAAAGCTCTACCTAACACCGCTTTTAACTGCTTTAGGCGTTAATATCTTAATAGTCAGTATATGCGCGCTGCTTAGCAACAAAACCCATGTTTAAATACGATCTTTTGTTTTCCACTAAGAATAAAGGTTTCACAGTTTTTCGCTTGATCAAAAAAATTTTCATTTTCCCCATGAACAGCCGGGTGGGAACGAATCGCGTGTAGCGTCCCCGGTTGCAAATCTTAGTGCGGTAGGTAATACTTGCTAATAATTGTAATGAGTCGTAATGGCAAAACACTTAGTGATTGAAGCCATGCAAACCAGGTTAAGGCCACTCCATATGTGTGTAAATATCAAGTGAAAGCGTTCTTTTCGTTTTAGGAACTAACGCCGTATTACAAATTACTTTCTGTGACAATTTTTTCCAAAGTCTTAAATGATCTCTTAAACATTTAAAATTTATATCCTTTAAAGTGGGTTGAATTTTATTCAAATCAAGCCAGTACGTCATGAAACTTGCATTTTGATTGATTCTTTTCAACCGATCTTATATTTAATTTCGTGCTCGCAAGGTAGCGTTGCTCCTTAACAGACCGTCCTCCCTGATACTGGCCTTAAATTTCTCTTTTCCTTTATTTCGTATTCTAAGGAAGCTTTGGTAAAAAACGCTTGCTAGATAAACCTATCATTGTATCGATTTCATCAAATTGTCGCGAAAATTGCCGTTCTACAGAGTGAGTACAGAAATGCATGGGCAGACAGATGAACAGACATGTTTGAATTGATTTTGGGAATGAAGCCATTTGTACAATAGAAATCATGTCTCTTTCAGCTCCTTCTGGATATTGCATATGCTCGCACCAGTTCAATCTGACCCTACAAGTGGTGTCGTAAAAAGTAAGGAACCTGCATTCGCTTTAGAATGCATCTCTGGTATCAGTCTTTCGAATCCAAATATAAAAATTATCAAAACATTTGTGAAATTCTGTTCCAACTCACCTACTCTCCTCTCCTCTCTTCGATCAGTATCTGCAATGGATTTCAAGTTACCGTTTTTGACTTTTTGTAAGTTTTATGGTTGTATATCTATGTTTGGAGTTTGATCTGCTTGATGCGATCGTTAACTACTAATATACATACCTAGCTCCACCAATTTGTATCAAAATTCGCAATTCCATGCCAATTACGAATATATATGCTGTATACAGACTCTATCGTTGATTTCTGTGGCAAGACGAATATTATGTACTCCTCTCTTTCAGCGTAGGGACATTTTTATAATTTTAATGTCTGTTTAATCTGTTAGTCAGCAGATGTTGTACTACATCTTACAACACAGTCATAGCGGTCAACCAAACAAAGAAAAATAAATTTTTCTTTTTTAAACATGAAAACAAATTGACAGTTATAATTATACTTTTACTTTACCTTTTTGAACAGGTTTTCGCATTCACATACATAATGTCACTCACTTTGGCCTACGTAGACGCTATTCCCTCAAAGGAGAATCTAAAGTAAGTAACTTATCATAAAAATTCACGTTTATGTTTATTGTAAAAAGGCACTCATTTCACGGTGAGCAGAATACGAATCCACATACCGGTCAAGCATCATACACATGTGCAAACTGTGGTGAAAAAAGTTCCAGTACCGATACCTATACCTATTAAAGAAAAAAAAAAGTATTACAGCGAAAGTCTTGAAGACGACGATTTTGAAGGTTATGATTATTCAAAGAAAAAACGCCGCAATACTCCTCCGTTTATTTAATAGATCTAATGAATCCATTTGCAACATTTAATTTAATTTAATATAATCTTTTTTTTTTTTTAAATAAAAATAAAAGCGATAGCATTTTTTCCAGTGTAAAAGCTCATTGGCTAAAGAACAGTTTTGCTTCCACATACCTGGAATGAACGTTATTATGGTAAGTTTTAAATCATGTAAAGTACATCCGCAAGCTTTTGGAAGACGGAGAGCTAAAAAGAAAACCGTTAACAGTAAGCATTTTAAGGCAAATTTTAAGTTTAAATGAAAGATTCGCAGGAAGCAGATTCTCGTTTATTCTTTTTGCCCTTTCTCCTTTTTAATGACGTTGCATGATACAATAGCGAAATTTTGTTCTTGCCGACTGAAACTGTGTACGCTGCGGTCCTTTCTTTTTATGCCCATCGTCGAAGTTCAGGGGAAATATTCATTTTATGAAAACGTTTGGAGCGTTCAGAAGGAAGCTCCACAGACCCCATAAAGTATGGATATTCTTGACTAGCAATAAATTCTGAATCGATTTAAGGACGTCCGTCTGTCCGTGCCAAAAATTAAATGAAATAATTTTTAAATTCACAGTTGACAGTTCGTGCCGCAGAGCTCTTTAAACTAAACTTGTTTCACGATGTTTGTCCGCAGTGCTACAATTTTTTAATATTTTTCAAAAATACTCTTTTTCTAATACTTTCCAATTAGAAGAAAGTTTTTAAGGCTTAGTTGATCTCCTTCTTAACAGGCAATAAAATTACGAGTGCAATATGATCTTTGAGATTCTTTATTTCACTCTATCTCTTCGCAGATTCTTTTCATCTGCTTACCGTCCAATCTTACAAAATTGTTGTCTATTACAACGTCCAGGCGGCCCCGTCACACCGTTGATCGAGATCTCCTTTAGAAATTGCTGTCCTTGACTCTCTCTATAAAATCTCCTTTCATTCTTTGTACACACAGACGCACAGAATACAAATTTGGATCGCGCCAAAAACTCTCATATGTCTGATGATAGCCCTGACGAATGTGCCCTTAAATAATTTTGATTCTGTGCTGCAAACCTCAGATACGGAAGCATGTTAAGGAGACTCGTTTCGTTCGGCGCGTTCCGGGCAAAGAGATGCGCTGTCATGCCCATCTTATGCAAGCATTGCCCGCAAAAATACGAAATTCATAAGATGTATGATACGTAAACTGAATTAATTTTAAATACACCCTCTATATGTAATCACGTAGGGCTAAAATTCTAAAAATAACATAAAGCATGCAAGGATTACTGGTCTACAGTTGTTAGCGATAATTTTACATGTCCGTATACGTGTACGTATATGTATAGGCATACGGATGGCATTCATCTCTGCTTAGCTTGTGCTACACAGTGTTTGCGCTTTTTATTCTTAAATTTGTATACCAAGTTAATATAAATGAAATTTTTATTAACGACATTAAAGAAGGAAGCTTTTGAGAGAGAGAGAGAGAGAGAGAGAGAGAGAGAAAGAGAACGAGAGAGAGAATAAGAGATGGCATCGGTTAAGTAAGTTAGCTATAGTATCTTGTAATTGTCTCATATAAAGCTTGCGGTAGTGTTAGCTTTTAACATTTGCTATTGGCTGAGACTGGCAGACTGCTATACTAGTTGTAATATGGTACCGTAAACATATCTAATATACATATTAACGTGTTCTCGTATGCGAAAAAATGGTGCACACTTAAGTAAATTCATACTTATTCAGTATGAGTGAGTGAATATAGGATTTTATGTGTGCTGTGCTTTTAGCATTACCGCGAAATATTCTAAAAGCACACACATCAAAAGTATTCAAATAGCCGGTGTTGAGTCGAACGGTGATACAGTTAATGTTCGCAACTATAGATTGCTTGGTTCTTTTTTCTTTTGCTTTTCTTTCTTTGGTAGAGAGTTAATTCATCGCATCTCGTAATATGTACAAAAGGTGAAAAAATTGGCGAATTGTGAAAGGAAATGTATAGGAAACGTACATAATGTGAAAATACATTAAGAAATTAAGTGTTGATGTCTAAAATTTGCGGAAAGAGCAGGGAAATTAAAAAAAAAATAAATAAATAAATAAAAGTAAAAGTAAAATAAAAATAAAAGAAAAGAAAAGAAAAAAAAAATGCTATCATAAGCACAACGAATATGAAGGAATGGAGGGAACAAAGTAAAGAACAGAGCTCAAGACTAAATAATCGTTAACAGTGTCAAAGCGGTGAAAGAAAGTGTTCAGCGTGTACGCGTGGAAATCCGTAAAATCCCTTTAAAATGATTGCTGTTATTACAATTGCCAATCAACGCGTTTTCTTTTAATATTTATTACAATATCATCTGAGGGAAAAGAAAGAACTTAAAGTAAAAAAAAAAAAACTTCTCTTGTGGTAAACGTAAAGGGAGAAGAAGACATGCTGACGCCTATAAATGTACCTTTTTTTGTTGCGAGGGACATCCAAGTGAATTTTTGCACATGTTCTACGTCATAAGTCTTTGCAACAACGAATCAATTGTGATACTTTCTAAAAACAAAAAAAACCAAAAAAAAAAAAACAAACAAAAACAAAAAAAAAAAAAACAAATAAGTGTAAGTCGAGAGCCTTAGTTCATAATTAAATTATTTCAATCATATTTCTAAGTACATGCAAATGTTTGTGTTTCATATCATAAGTTAATTAAATTCATTTGCATAAAAAAAAACAAATATATATATATATATATATATATATAAAGGAAAATGAAAGGAAAGATCACTAGGAAATGTCATTAGAGAGTTTTAGCAATTTTCACATGCCCGACATTCATTCAATGCATGAATGGCTGAGTGAATGAATGAATGAAAGTCGACAGAGTATGCTTATTACTATTTCATAGGCAACTTATTTGTCATAAGACTTATTTGTTTATAATTATTATAAATACCTTTTCTTGTGTATATCTGCATATACACAGATACTATAAAATAGGATTTTATTTGTGAGCTACCGAAGATACAAGCCAAGCCAATTGAATGCCATACCATACCATACTGCATGCTACGCGTTACAAACAAATGTGTGTGATGCAAAGTATTGCACAGGGTTCCGATTCTATTCTGCTCTCTCACTATTATTGTCATTATTATTATTGTAATGCATACGCTTGCGAATATTATTATAAGAAAAAATTTAATTATGCTTTGTCAATTAAATTAAATGAACGAACGAACACACATGGTAAGGAAATTCATTGCATTTTCCTTACCTTGCGAGGAATTATTACATATTTTATGTGCTCGAACAGGCATTGTGTTCAAATAAAATGAAATAAATCTGAAATAATATACACAACACTGGTTGATTGCTTTGTGAAATTTAAGCCTCGTTGACAGGCCACTTTCAGCACTCGTTCAATGATAAGGTATTTTTTTATTGTTTACATATTGTACATATGAACATTATGCAGTTTTTATATCTCCAATATAAAGACACTTGCTTAAGAATGTGCAAATGGGAAAATGGGAAAATGAAAAATATAAACAATGAAAATGTATATCTTTTTCAATAATTGCTCGAAATTCTAGATCGATATTTGCTATAATCCAATAAGATCTCAAATTATTTTTGCACTTATCACCTTATTTTTGATTTTGTGAATGACTGGCTCATGCCCATTCTGCAAATCAATCCATCAATCGATAAGAAATGCAACAGTATTCAATATGTCTGGTCTCAACTTGCAGTACCATATTATTATTATTATTATTATTATTATTATTATAAATTTAGCCAGAAGTCAATTCTACGACTAAAGTCTTAAAGCACTAGCACCTAAGGCTTTCGGCTTTGTTAATAATTGCATATTGAAGATATTTTTAGTCTTGAACGCCTTCGGCCTAAAGTAGAGAAAAATGTTGTCAACTGTCTAGTATAAGAGAAAAGTAAAACTAAAAACGTAAAGTTACATTCGATCCGAGAATTCTTATATCCTCTAAAAGAGATTTTTTGCAGTATCATTATATTTGTGACGCCTGGACGTACGCATCGAAAACTTTACAAGGTGTTTATATGCTTGACGAGAGTGAAGAAGGGGAATCGATTTAAAGGCATGTTCATCTGTACGTTTGTTCGTCGGTTTCTTTTTTTTTTTTGATACAGTAGCAGTAGCAGTGCCCAGCCAACTAGTGGCCTTACGCTGGGATAAAATCCATGATCGCTCTGCCGGTCTGCCTATCTGGCCGTAGGTCGGTTTATGCGTGGTATTGTCGGTTTACCTGTCTTTCCGTCCAGCTATCCATCCGTCTTTCTCTCTGTCTAGTCTTGCCCCTATGCCCATCGGTTTATCAATCTGTCTGTCCGTAACTGTGGGGAGGTCTAGGAAACAACAAAAGATTTGGCCTACGGTTTTTTCTTATCACTTTCGTCATCTAAGTCGGTCAACGAGCACATTTCACAATTTCCCCTTTTTTTTTTTATATTTTATAGCTTAGAAAGTGTGAGTGGTGGAATTTATTTCTATCCGTAAATCTGTCTGTGTCATTCAATGGTAAGACCTCAAATCTTTGGCTAGAAGAAAGAAGAAACTTTAAAATTTTTTCTAGTTTCTCTCGCTAGCTAAGTCAGTCAACTTACAACTACTGAAAACTGAAACCTCTTTGTTAAATCGTAGCTTTACACAGTCTTTTGTTTAGAGCTTAAAATTGATTTTTAAATTTTTCCTTCATAAAACGTCTGCGTCAAGTTCAAAGTAAATCCGACAAACTATTCATTTGTTATTGCACATACATATGTATATATATATATATATATATATATATATATTACAATTGTGATATGTAATATCATAATATGTAATAGGAGATGTACGTTAATAAGTTGATTTAGTATAATTATTGACAAGACAGTGCAGGTTTGAAATATACACGATGTAGAATCGAGTATCTCACCAAAGGATGAGAGTATATGCATTTTGGCAAAATGTCTGCAGCATCCACAAGAAGGCTTCAAGAAGCTCCCCAAAATATATATATTGTTGATCAACATTAAACTCCGAATCGATTTAATCCTGTCCCATTTTTCGTCTGCATAAGGTGGGAATTATTGGCATGACTGCAAAAATGAAGTTATCAACTTCAAAAACCATTGGTAATTCTCACAGGCAAGTTAATACTGCAAATGGGCAAAATCGGTCAAGGTCAAGTCTACAATACAACTTAAACTTAGAACGCCTTTGTAA